TCCATTCTGTTGTACTTCCTTGAGGGATCACGTCAGAGGCAGGAAAATTGTAACCAGAATCGATGGTTAACCTGAAGTTGAATGCAGCTGTTGACTAGTCGTAAAACGATAAACCTCTCGCATGCTGTTTATTATTACTAGTGGTCTGTTCATTCAATTTTGGGATTTGAACGAAGTAAAACAGTGTTCAAAGGTATGTGTAGTATACATGCATTTTCATAAACGCTAATAGGCGGTGGTGGTAACTTCACCAAATTATCACCCCGGGGATGTGTGTTCGAACCACCATCACCGCCTGACTTTCCCCATTGTGCATGTTGAATTGCAGCCCTTTGGTTGGCCGCTACCCCCTTCCTGAAAACGGTATCTTTGTAAATTCAATAAAAGAAAGTAAAAGAAAAAGAAAAAAAGAAAAGAATAATCTTGTGCGACTGGCGGTCCGTTTGCAATATGCTACCTGTAAAGAGTCAAAAACCAGTACTGTCGTTCCAGTGTTAGACTGTTAGATACCAAAGGCAGCACTGTGCAATTCATCGAAGTCGTATTACCTGTGCAAACTATAGCCAACTAAATGTCGCAATTAGTCTGCTGATTTGTATAATAACGGTATTCCAAGTGGAATCAAACCATTCCGGGTAAAATATTCGACGCTTTACAGACATGCCACTTCCACCATGCATTTCCGTCCATCACAAAAATTGGCACTTTACTGCAGTTTGGGATCAACAGCACGATACCATTCTCCCTGGTGAAGTTTCAGGGGTTTTAAACAGTACTTGATTAGTATAAGATAAAGTTGATTCCCGTTATTTCCTAATAATTTCTTCCAGGTTTTCCTTGTGGCTTGTTGTAAGAATTTTTGGTTGCCAGTAGCTAACTCTGTACCCATTTACCTCTGTATCAATGGCTAAGACAAATAGCAATGCTTTGAACACCTCGTTGACGCCACTTTTCGTCCCAGGGAACACATCACTCCATCCAGTATTTCAGATTATCACACTGACACACTGACACTGGTGTGTCATAAATAACGTGTGCGATGAAACATACACAAAAAAATTGTTCTCTCAGTTATCTTCCATTTCCCTGTGTTTCACTGTCTCACCCCCTTTTCACTCAGTTCTGTACCCCAATCCACCTGTCCCC